TTCACAAATGGAAAATTCTTCTTTTCCTCTGCCACAATTCCAATGACGATGCTAACTCTAACTGGCCGTTGCGATAGATCAAAGGAAATTATCGCTCGTTTATTGCTCCGATGCCAATCATTTGGAGCAACGCGGATGGATATGGACATGGTCCAATGGAAGATGACATTTCTATCCATAATAGTCTGGTGACCTAGCTAGAAGCATGAGGAATAGAAGAGGAGGAACTTCTTAACCTACTAATAAACTCATACATTAACTTAATTGTCCTAATTAAAATATGCTAGAAAAAGTTCAATTCCAAGAGGTCTGGAAGGTTAGGATCCTGCGTAGAGAAAATCCAAAACAAGATCTCATGAATAGTTTTCATTTATCCAAAAATGTACATAATAATGTAATGGAAGGTAAATGCTAATACATTCTTAGGTTCTACCTATTCAATTAGGGCCCTAACGACTACAACAATCAGGATACAATAGATTATAGAAAAGCTCAACACGTCTCGGAAACATGGTATTCCAGCAACAAGCAATGAAGACAGTAAAATTCCAATGGCAGCACAAATGGATCTAATGGTTAAATAGGATCCAAGTCCATGTAATTTCGAGCTATTTTTAATACAATTCAATGTTAATACAATATATCAATCGGGTAATGATAACTACTGTTTGATGCCTAATCCTACGAATAGTCAGAGACCTAGTAATATCGCTTTGTATTTGTATAATTTGTATGTATCTTCAAAATAAGCCAAAATTTCTCTTGTAAGCAACAAGTGATGTTCCTACAGCGACTTTAGAATATTAAACGGTGGTTAATGGATCCGTACTAAAACCAAGTTAACAACCTGTAAACAGTCTATATCTACTTGTGTTAAGATTTAAAGTTAATCGTATCTTCTGATCAATGGTTTTTGATCATTTATATGGTCCCTGTATTTGGTAGACTCTAGAGCGGTGTTTATGATAAGAGCTCAAGTGATTATGGGTCCAGAAGTGAAGATCTTTTATAGTTCTTCAATTAGTTGATGATATAAGCTGTCCAATTGGTCCACATAGCATTGAAGGTTGTTTAAGCAATTTACCATTCTTGTACGGTTCTGCACCGTCTCCTAGCATTTTTATGGCCTCTTACTCATCCGGTTAAATATAATTCTTCTATTTATTATCCAAGAAGAGTAGACCGTTCGGTGATGAGTACCCAGTATCTACTCGAGCACTCTTCTACTTTTTTTATATAATTTTAATTCGATCAATTAAATCCCTTCGTATAGATCGCGCCGTCGGCCGCAATGGTAGCCATACAGGCTGCTTTCACGGAAAGCTACAACGCACAGCCGACCCTCCAGTCTATTTCTCTCCTACATTCGTCCAAACAAATGGCGCTCGAGTCGGTCCGACGAACAAAGCCGAAACCGTCGATTGTTTCCACGGCCGACGCCGCTAGTTACATATAACCGTGGAATGGATAATTTCGAAACTTCTACTCTGTATTTTAAGCGTAATAATGGAAATAAGATAATCAAAATTTGCGCGTAAGGTACTCTATACGTATTGAGAATGCATTGAGGCGACGGTCGTACGCACGCCGATGCGAAAAAACGGAAATTATTAAAAATAAAACAATTGTAGGAGTGGGAGATGTGAAATAAAAACGCACTAGTACTAGTAGTACTTTCATGTTCAGTATTGGGCATTGCCTTGAGGTACTTGTTATAGGTACACAAATGTATCAATTATTTCCTAACCATTGTAAAGTACATATTAAATCACTTAACTGCTGTGACGTTATTAGTTTCTTATTAAAGATATTAAAAAAATGTTATACTTGCTACCCTTGCTACCTCGTAAAATATTATAACGTCGTAATTTTCGCGCTACCCTCGTAAAAATATTACAGTGAATCTCAGGAACTGTTCTTTGATTTTATACACTTTAAAAACAATTCTATAATGACCTTAAAAATAACCTTAATTAAATATGTCAAAATCGAACTTTTCGTCCAACCCTCGTAAAAGCATTTTCATTGTACCTATTCATTGTAATCCTGCATAGAGCATGTTATTATTAAACTTATTTTTTTTTTTAATTTTACAGTAATTGTTACAACTTTTGCCCCTACAATACGAGAGAATTTTCTTTTCGTTTTTCACGCGTAAATTCGAATTTTCGAAACGACAAAATCGAATGTTATCGACGCGCGAGCGATATGTGGGTTTCTATAAATAATCATCGATCGTTTATCTATCGAAATTCTGGTGGTTACGCACAATCAAATCGTATCATTTCTTTCGAATAATTCCCGCGAAGAAGAGAACATTTTGGTGGGCGTGATATCATGGAGATTGGCGAGTTTATACGAATTTTATATGCATTTTTTATTTTTATTGGTTGTAACTTTTTTGCAAAATATCGTACCTATTTTTTTTTACTTTTAAAAAAGTGTCAATAAGGACTTTCACTTATAATATTTTCCCGTCATAATACAATCACACATTCTACAATAAATAGATAATAATTTAAATTATTAATGCATAAATTTATTGTTAGGTATAAATAAATAGATTTTAAGGTAGATAGAAGTTGGAAGAAAATCGATAGTGTTTTAACTTAGCACTTGAAGTGCTTCGCCCAACTTCGATCCTGACAATTGTTTGACGCTTGTTTTCTCTCTACATTTTTTCTAAGAAAACTTTAGATGCTCGACTTTCCATTCAATTTGAAGCATACCAAGGAGAACACTTACCAAAGTAAATTGCCAAGGTGCAAAGTTGGGACTCTAATTGACCCTACGCAGCAACTTTCAACCAGGAAATTAGCAAAGTCCATTCGTCAGTCCGATAACTAGGCTTCCAGGTAACCTAAAGAGTTTATAGGCTTTCCCCAAAGTAGAGTTGCAGATTCCAAAAAAATGGGAGCTCATCAGGAGTTCTATGTTTATCTTGTTGTTCTTGTTTATCTATTGTTTACCCAAAATCGTTGTCATTCTGTGTCCGAGTATGTCCAATATCAGTCCAGGACCCACCATAAACGTCTTATGCAGCACACCCACCTGTGGGTTTTGAAACGATTTTCCAATAGAACATAATATACAATTCATCAAGAAATCCTAAATTCCCCCAACTCAATCTCCCTTCACCTTCGCCTAGAACGATCCTCATAACAGCGATAGAGCAAGTAATCCTGGTGATGTACTGGATACAATACAGCTCTCGAACGATCAGTACCCATTAAACGGTGGTAATTTAATTTTTCGTGACGTCATTTTTCAACAAACATCATGAACAATAAACATGTTTTGCGGCTAGCAATGCGAACATAACAAGCTGAGCGAGAGAAACATTGATAGACGGCGCGATATGCGTTTTATACTTGATACCTTCCATTGGGTTTGTGTTCTATACCGATGCCGAATCGACTGTTTCGTTTCGACTACTTGTATAAATACGTGTGGTGTACCGAATAAATGCTGACATCAGCCAACGTAGCACATCACACATCACATTGCACACACATACACATACACACGTATCGCGATTTTTTTTTAATCGACGCAGTTTTTTCTGGCAGTCTTTTGTTTATTAGAAATCACGCAAGATTTTCCGTAGGTACGACTAGAGGCAAATATTTTTATTAAAGTATTGCTAATACCAAAAGACCGACAAATTTTCAAAACTTTCCTAAAGCTTTAAAGAGTTTTTCATTTGTTCCGGAAGATTTTATCGAAGGATGAATGATGAGTTTTGCGTTTTTCAACAAATTTATAAAATATGGAATTGGCTCAGAGCCGTCTCTGACACGTCGTCTTATTTGTTTTAAGACGATTTCGCGTAGAAGTTACCTGTCTTGATGAAGCGGTCTCTCCGCATTTTCCGAGCTTTTTTGCAAACCGCCGCGGCAATTATCGCATCCGGAGTAATTTTTATCTAGATATTTTATTGCAATAATCGCGCAGGACCGGTCTCGCTTTCTGCATGATAGTCCAGAGGATAATAATTTATAAAGGTCTTCTGTTTTTTTTTTCTTTCTTAGGTATTTTATTATTTATTTGTATCAGTTGCTTGATAAGTTCCTGTTTAAGAAATCTATTCCATGGTAGAACATTTGATAGAAAAAATAGTTTGGAATTTTTTTTAAAAATTTTCTATTTTTTTAAGAATTTTTTTGTTAGTTTTTAGTTATATTTTCCTTTTAATTTCTTAAAAAAATCCTTTAAATTAGCACCTCCCCTGTTGGTGTCTTGCAAATGGGGAATCCCCAAATTCCCCCAAAACTGGAAATTTCCCTTTTCTCGGCAACACTGACTACAACAAAATACCCTAAGCTCGATACTCTGAACTCCGAAGATAATTTCCATCTAAAGCGACGTTGCCGCCTTCATCCGAAAATCCTATCTTCCCAACAAAAATCTACTATGAGTGTCACGTTGGAATGTCGAATTGAAAAAAAAAGACATGCCAATTTCTTTGCGCATGAATTTCTGATCCAGCCATAATGAATAATAAAATTAATTCAATAATAAATTAGTATCAAATTTACCATACTATATTGTTTTTATAACTCCTAGTCCTGGCCAGTAAAAAAGTTTAAAAAAATATATATGATTATATGATTATACACTTAAAAATATGGATAAACAAGGAATATATGAACATTAACAATTAGTAATTTACAAAAGAGTAAAAAAACTAATTTCACTGTCAAGTGTCATACTTAAGACTTCCACTGCCGCCTCAAACTCTCAAATTGGCATTCAAATTCAATCTTACAATATTTACATTCTTACTTCGATACTGAATCGATACTGTGAAAAAGAATCGATACCCCGGAGGATTTAGTGATCTCGAAACATCACTACTCGGACAGCGTTTGGTGTTGCCAAAAAGGACATTACGTTGCGCCCGACGATCCCTCGACGGTACGTCCGGCAACGCCGCTCTCCGGCTAACACATAACCTTTCGCAGCGGGCCTGTTATGCAGGTGGGCCGAGTCGACACGAACCGTAGCCGAGCCTCGTCGACCGGTTTAGACCGGTCTCTCGGTTTGTTCCAACGTTTCGGTTTAATGTTGCTGCGCGTTCAACTGACAGTGGCCGCTGTATACGTGCGTTCGTTCGTTTACAATCACGACGTTTACGTTCACGTTTACGTACCGTTTCGGTTCGATTTCCAGTGACAGAAATAATATAAAGTATAAATTGATCTAGTAGGATTCGGTCGATTGTCGAGCGTCCAGTGAGTTTGTTGTTTTTTTGCGATATATTTCGGGGAATAACGGAATAGAAAACCGGTAAAAACATGTTACAGCTGGCAGCAATGCTGGTTTTTCGCCCCCATTGAAGATGTGGTTCGAATCTCAGGTGAGTTTTCTCAATAGAAATGTCCCAAACATTAGTAGCATTTTCGAATTTACTAACTGGTCGAGTTTCGAAAAAGAGACGCCACACGTCCACGTAAGATTTGCGGTTTTTCTGGCGAAAACCCGCCGATTTTCCGGCTACACGTGACGAACTGTCAAAGTTTTGCGATCTAGTCGCTTGTGTCCACCGCATGTGTTTTGTTTTGAAACGAGCGGGATCGCAGGATGCGTTAAAATGATTTCGTGCGCTGTCGTCCAATGCGAATCGTCGCGGTGACGGTTCGACGAATCACGTCGACAACACGTTCGGGCGATTGGATTGTTGTATGTGCTTTCAGTAAATTTTGAAAGCGGTCGTAGAGGGCCGGCGCCAGTTTTGGGCGATCGCTTTGGGAGTCTCTTTTTACAGAGGCTTATTTTTATTTTTCGTTTTGATTTTGGTTTTAGTTTGTACAGAAACAGTCAGAAAAGTTGAGGGATTTTCAAAATTTCTTTCAAATTATTGACTTTGATAGATTTTTTGACGAGTTTTAGTTTTAACATTAAGTAATGTTTTAAGTAAATTTTAAGATTTTTGTTTGAAACACTTGTTTATTGACAATTTTTTGATAAAAAATTTTTTTTTTCTGAATTTTGCTTAGGGTTCTTATTTTTACAAAAAAATATTATTTTCAAAAAATTTTTATATTATATACAGGTTGTCTCATTGTTTTAAAGAGGAATACACTGTTATTTATTAAAAAAGGATCATTAAATTTATCTCACCATTTATTCAATATTCCTATGAAATACTTCATACTTAGGGCATTTAAGATTATGCCAATTTTTAACTTAATTAATTTTACTTCTAATTATTATTTATTTATTCAACAAACATTAATAAACGTTGGAAGATATTCAGTAAGAAGAGAATGAATGAAAACGTAAAAACGAAACGAAAACTCTGCATTTCTCAGGACGGTTTTTTCCCGCCAAAATGTTCGGAATTATTAGAAGCGCCTGAAAATTTTTCAATTGGCACGACGTTCGTGCCAAGAATTCGAAAATAGAACCGGGATTTTAAAGTTGTGACGTCGCTGTTTTCCAAAATTAAAATGGCTGCTCGGAAAATCGACTATAAACTGAACACGATTTTGTATTTCAAGTTAATGACTTACGTTAGAAAGAGGATTTAGTACCAAGAAAATTGTTCAAATTAAATTTCTACAAAAAATTAGCAAATATAAAGACCCGGAAAATTTAAATTTGACCAATCAATTGGATAAATAGTTTTGGAACGTTTATCTAAAATGAAATAAATCATTTACCTGATCCACATGATAATTTATTTTACGCGCGCTATATCAGTGTAATGTCACTTTTATGAATTATAAAGTGCCGACAAAAGTGACGTAACCGAAAAACCATAACATTCGATTTTATGAATGAAGCGTAAAAATAAAAATCGGTAATAATCGCTCCTATTAAGATGCCATATCAACAATTATTACATTGCGATAGGTCAAATACGCCAATTAATTATAACATAGTTATAGTATTTTTATGTAAATAGCGAAGGCAGATAAACGTTTTAACATTGTTGAGTGTTTACCTTTTTTTTTTCGTTATTTAATTTAACGAACGTCGGTCGCATTTAATTGAATAATAAATAAATAAACGTCATTCGAACGGAAAGCCTTTAAAATAACGAATAAAATATAACAGGATAAAACGCGCGAGTTCAAATATCGATATAATTTTATTCAGTTAGTGCGTTTTGTTTTGTTTTATTTTCTCGCCATTATTATCGGTTTCACTTTCTTCCGGGGACACCGATAATAAAAATAATCGATTTCATATTAACGAGTTTATAAATAAAACAAACGGCGAGCTTTAATATTAAAGCCGATCTGCTCATATGCGAATTATAAAACGGTTCAGAAGCGAATTTTATTATAAACTGAAGAATTAGATGTAATGAATTTAAAAAATATATTAAATTTAAATAGTCTTCTAAATGTTATAAATAATCATGTAAGCGTTCACAGTAGTGACTGGATATTTCAAATTTATTCTGAAACATTCGCCAAATATAGTCCTGAATCTGCTATAAACAATTCTGGACAGTTCTAAATGATTTTGAACCGGTTTAAATGATTCTTAAGCCATATCGAGCCGGTATAGTATAGGGACTAGTGATCTTTAAATTTTTAAAATACGAGCAAATAGCTCTATCTCATGAATGATAGATATTTAAAAGAGTTCCTGAGAGACGATAGCGACATAAATAGCAACATTCAAATTTACTTTCCTTTATGCACCAGCGAAGTCTTAGAATATGTGCAAAATCCACTGCAAAATTTTAAATAAAAACAGTAAAAATCACTTACCAAATAGCAATGTTGGTTTATTCCAAAGCCGGCGTGGGAATATTCTAACCACACACATATCTGGAAAAATAAAGAAAAACAAAATATACCACCTGTTACAAAGATCTAAACATGCTCGAGTAAAATAAAGTATCTACCTATATTCTGAAGCGCTTTTTTTATTTTTCGCATCGGACTCGTCTGGTCGTCTGTGCAGCGACAAACGAAATGAAAAACGTAAACAAACCGAGCGAGGCGCGTGCCGCAGAAACTACAGAGAGAGCACAGCTGAGAAAAAAATGTAACCGTACGATACGATTTTAATTTATTGCATTTTTCAACAAGTCCATATGAATTATTAAAGCGAGTCGTAAACGTAACAAGGTCGAGTACTTAGAGGCGAACGAACGAATAACTCGTTGTTTTCCTTTACGAAAATGCATCATCACGTTTTCACATAGCTATAAATTAGAATAAACATACATACTTTAGATTTTATTGAATGAAAAATTGATCAAAAAAAGTTTGCGGCATATTTAGATTGAGTAGGTGGCATTATATTCAGGAAAAACTTGGTTGCAAACATTATTCTATTTAGTCCTTTTTCGATTTATTATTGAAAAGGAAATCCTCTCGACGGCGAAAGGGCTTAGAGGAAGTTGTAAAAGCGTCGACATGACTGAAAACACTTGTTGAACGGAAAGGAAAAAAGAAAAGAGCATAAGAAGCGGAACGCGCGAATAAAAAGTCGGAATCTCCTGAATAAAAATATTCCAATAAGAAGACTGTTCCGAAAACCGTCTGGCGAACTCGGATAGCGTTTTCCAGAAAAGTTTGCGAAGGGAAATCCGTCATCGAAAGGAGGTCGAACGTCGTCTGGAAGGCCGGACGTCGTCGATTCGAATATGGGGTATATATTGACTAAATTTATTTGGCATTGATTAAAATTAGAACCAAAAATTTCAAAATACCTAACCTCAAATATTTATCTATTCTATAAATGAATCGTTCAGACCTAAGCGGATTAAGTTCAAGTATTGGGTGTGAACCATATCAAATTATGGCTCAAATAGCATTATATTAAAATTATGATTAATAGTAACAAACGTAAATAGGTCTGTAACATTGTAACCCCGAAATTTATTCCACCATAATGGTCACTTTTGAGGCGAATAAACCACCTATTAACCAACAATCCAACGCCCATAATTTCAACATAACATCCTCCGGTTTCGTACAGGTGCCATTATCGCACCTCCATCCCCTTTTCGCCCGTCGTAAATCCGTCTGAGGTCGTCGACACGTCGGAATTTTTTTCGGACAATGGAGTCTCGAACGATCCGAACAAAAGATGCACTTGTCAAGTGAACTTGCGTATCTCGACGTTCGACGTGACGCGTACGAAATCGTAATGTAAACAAAACATTACCTACTGACCTAGTGGAACAAGTGATTCCGAGCCGTTTCGAGGCGGCTTCCTCTTTTCATTATCCGAGCCGGGGCTTTTGGCGACGATCGCTCGTTTATTGTTATTTGTCGCGCTCCACCCTCCTTAATATACCTATTAACTTGTACTAACTGCATTGGTAGGAGGTTAAGGTATACGGCGATTTCCACTTCGATTTTTATTAGATTATTGCGTTCGGCTGGCGATTAGCGATAATCTAATATCCTGTACTGGTGGGGTGTTCTTCCTTTTCTGCTTTTAGTTCTCCTTTATTCGATTACTGCGCGCGAAAGCTTGTTAAATTGTTTTAACGATTAATCGACCGCTAAATTTAATGAACTGTTGTTAACAAACACCAAGGAGTCAATGGGCATGATTACTTTGCAAACTCGAATTTAGTACACTAATATTTTAGTAACCTCCACGAAGGAATTACATTAGCCAAATTTATCTGTAAATCTAAAAATAAGAAAATTGCAGTCTTTTTATCAAATTCATTTTCTCTGCGCACGTTAAGAAACAGTCCTTTTTTATTATAAACAGTTTTTACTCAGTCAGTCAGTTTACTGATTCTCTCACATACACGAGATTTTCATTTTGCAATAGATTATCGGGTTCGTTATTTATCATTCCATTTTTTTGAGAATTAATTCACTAAAATATTCGAGAAATTAATGGAATTTGGGAATTTCGAGCGAACTTCTTGATAACCGCATCGAACGAGTATACTAAAATAACATTATCTACGCGCCTTATCATTGTTTAAACTTTGAAATAAGTCGATAAGGCCACTCAAGACGAGACTGTAGCTGTGAATTAAATGTATCTAGATAGAAAATGCAAGCGGCAATGTGTATTATTGTTTTTTTTTGTATACATTTCATTTAATTTTTATTATTTAAATAATCAAAACTCGTAATTTGAATTATCTGATCGTAAAATGGGGTCAATGTCTCTGCGATGTAAACAAACTATAGTAATACCAAATTATTCGCATATATAAATATAGATAGGTAATCGTTACCTAATAATGATTCATTTTTTTAGAATGCACTTTTGTTGTCTAGTTTTTAATAATTGAATTACTCCTTGCATAATTAATATGGAAAAACCCGTTTCGATATAATTTAATCGCAGTTAATTGCAGTAATTTGCAGACATTTTTATTGCTCTTATTTTATTCTTAAATATTAAGGGTACAATTTG